CTAAGTGGGAATATAGTGCCGCCTATGACCAGTTTATTGAAGGTACATAGGTTTGCAAATCTCTCAGCATTTTTGTTCGCTTCTCTCAGTCGATGTCTTCCCATGATAACTTCATATTCAGTGTTGTTCATTCCAACCTTGGCATTGAAATTTCCCATCAAAATGGTCGAATCTTTTGTTGAGAATTTCTCAACGATTAACCGCGGCCTATCGTAGAATTGGTCTTTGACGTCTTCATTGTAATCGCTGGAAGGCGCATAGCACTGGATAACGTTCATTGAGATACCCTCTTTCTTTGTTTTGAAGGAGGCTTTGATGATCCTTGGTCCATGAGATTCCCATCCTATAAGTGCATTTTGTGATTGTTTGGATAGCATCAGTGCAACGCCTTATGTATGTGGGGCATTTTCTTCTTCATGACCGGAGTATAACAGGGGCTCCCCTGAAGCTAGTCGTTGTTTTCCAACCTGCGTCCAATGTGTTTCACTGATTCCAATCACCTTCATGTTGTATCTTTTCATTTCTGCAGCAATCTGGAAGGCTCTCCCGGTGTCCCACATTGTACGAACATTCCATGTACTTAAATAAATGGTTGCTCTGGTTTTCAGAAGGCGCATCGGCTTTGTAACTTCCGAAGGAACTCGACTTTTATCATGAGGCGTCATAGTTTTTCTAAATGAAGACCTTCTGATTCCCAGGGCGGAGTTTAAAAGGTTTGAATATTTTTTCCTGGTTAGTGTTTTTTGGCGTGTTAGTTTTCTACGGGGTGGATTCTGTAACCTCACACCCAACCACCTCCTTTATCCGGGCTTGGGACGAGCAGTAGCCCCCGGAGGGACTCCAGGCGGACTTTAAAATATGATAACCACTCATTAAATACTTCATTTGTAAATCTTCCGCCAACTGTCCTTCACTTTCTGTCTGATTCTTCCACCTGATAATTTCTTTCTATTTTCCTCAACTAAATCTCCTTAGCTTTCTGCTGCCAGGTTTCCCATTTCGATTGGTATTACATACTACTTATGTCTGTCGACATAAGTAGTATGCACCACACTATCACTTCCTAGTGAAATCCATAATACAATTTAGCTCTCGGACCATAAATTTACCGCTATTCAATCAAAATTTTGCTGCACAATCAAGAACCATTTATAACTTCTTCTGCCTCTTTTGAGTTAATAACCGCATATTGCAGCAAATACTAACGTGAACGACATTCTAGCTTACTTTGTATATCTGGAGACAATTCAGCATATCTACTAATAGCATCGTCGATTATTTTGGTGTACCTTTCGGATAAACATTCGACCCCCCTAGCCGAACAGGCCATGATGTCTATTGACTCCAACAGATACTTAACGGTAGGAAGAATAAATTCATATTAACTGGGAGAACCTTGTAAACGGAAATATTGTGCTTCTATGTACTCAACGGAGCATCCAATGAAACTTGCATATATTTATCAAATAGCTATGTTTTATAACCAGAGAATTCGAACAGCCAATACAAGCTATATATCAATTAAGGAAAACTTGAACTCAAGTTACTTTAGACTACTACCCTCGACTGATATAGATCCCCGACCACAACGTTCTCCCAGGTTCCCATGTATCTATGCTAATTGTTGCTCTGGTTGTTAGAAGGAGGACCGGCCTCGTGGTTTCCGAAGAATCTCTGCTTTAACCGTGAGTGGTCATAAGCCTTTTTCTAAATAAAAACCCTTCAACTCCTAGGGCAAGTTCGAATGATTTAAGTGATCTTTTCTGGCTAGCGGTTCGTATTAGTTTTATTTTCTACGGGATAGGGTTGCTAATTCCATGTCCTACCCTCCTCCCTTACCGTGACTTCGAAACGGCTGTAACTCTTGAAGGGTCCAAGGCGGAGTCATAGTGTTAACTGTCCACCTAATCAAATCGTTGTTTGATCGAGCTTTCTTAGTGATATCAAAGTAGAACCTAATGAAACACTTCCCACGCTGCAACATTGTTATCAGCATAGAAAAATTATCTCTGAGTGGGTGGTTAGCTGACGAAATTACACACGTACAAAATGTCGCACAATCAACTTTGAACCTAGCATAAGTATGAGTTGGTCTTATACCGTGTTGGCACGATGAGTTATCTTACACCAGGTAAACATAATAAATAAATAATATATTTGTAATATCCCAATAAGTAGGAAAATTAGATTTTCTGACGTTTCGTGATGTAAGTTGCTTCTTCAGATAATAAATAACCAAATTAAAACTAATCCAAGTTTAAATAGTACAACGGAACAATAAGAATAATATGTGATCAAAAGCAGGTCTGAACAAGTAATTGTCATGTCATTTCAGTCGTGATTCATAAGTGATATGTATGTAAATTTTTTATGTATGTGTGTATGTAATGTTTAAGGATGAAAAATTGTGTGACATTTATGGTGAGAAAGGGTAGAGTTTAATTTGTAAGATGATAGTGAGAATTGTAAATAAGATCAGACTGAATGGCTAGGATAGATAGTCCAAGTAGGATGTATGGTAAGGCCTTTTCTATTGAGAGAAATAGGATTAAGCATTATATGGAACGCTTCAGCTACTTTCATTTCTTTGCAATTGGAAAAGCCTTCATGCAATATTTTGATATTTTTGAAATCAATTTGGTGATCGTTGAAAATGGCATGAACTGCTATTGCCGATTTAATTTGAAGTTGATCCGATTCTACGGGATTGCTAGGAGGTTTCTCTGTGTACCTATTATGTTCTTTGGCTGTAGTCAAGATTTTGCGAGATGACTCTCCAATATAGAAGGCATCACAATGGACATGAATGGGATTTTTTCTTTTAAGAGAACTTAAGTATTTCGAGGTGTGTTCGTTGTTTTGTATGTAGGCTGTCGGTAGATGGATAGATTTAGAATTCCATTTAGATTTCTTTTCACTAAACAATCTAAGAATGGTAGCTCACCATGTTCACTTTCATTCGTAAATTTGATGTGAGATGAAAGTGTATTTATCCGTTTTGAAAAGATCTTAGATGAGTACTTTTTTTATAACCACAAATGTATCATCTACATATCTAAGCCAAATTCGTGGTGTAACGTCGTGGGCGAAGATATTTGATTCTAAGTGTGCCATAAAAAGATTGGCTACAATCGGGGACACGGGGGATTCCATTGCTACACCGTTAGTTTGCTTGTATAACATCCCGTTAAAAGTGAATAGAGTCGAATTTAAGCCGAGTTTTAAGGATCTCACGATTAGACTGATGCTCAAAGGGCATCTGTCAGAAAGAGTATTGCCGTTCTCTAGTAAACCACTAACGAATTCTAAGCATTTATCAATGGGAATAGTAATGTATAGAGAAACGAGATCAAAGCTTACCATGACCCCATTCTTCTCGATAATTAATTCCGACAATTTTGATTTAAAGTCATATGTACCTTTAATCATTATGTAACTTAAGCTGTTGTTGTTGTTTTAATATGTTGCTTAGATATTTCGATAACTCATATGTCGGTGTGTTGGTAAAGTCTACTATCGGTCTTAGAGGGATATCTGGTTTATGAATTTTCGGTAAATCATAAAACCGTGAAACATTACATGATTTGGGATGCAGAGCAAACCAATGACTGGTTTTAGCTCTTTCAAAAGTTGACGTGCTTTTGATTTGACTTGATTTTTAACCGTTAGAGAATTTTTCGGATTGATGTTTTCATATGGTTCTGTTGAGAGATGTTCAAGAGCTTTATTAATATAATCTGTTTTATTCATGACTACTGTTATGTTGCCTTTGTCGGCTTTCGTGATGATAATCGTCTTATCTTTTTAAAGGGAATGTAGAGCCTTCAACTCTTCTTTTGAAATGATTGGTGTAATGTGTTTTTTAGTCAAAATATGGGATGTCTTTTGACGTAATAAATGCGACTGTTTTTCCGGTAGTTGTGCGACTATTGGTTCTATAATTGGAGCAATTTCAAGAGTACTAGGTGGTTTTCCATGTAAATTGAAATTTAATCCTTTCTCCAGTAGAGTGATTTCATGACTGGTTAAGTTTCTGTCCGAGAGATTATGAACAATTCTTCTTAGATCATTCGAATGAGATTTTAATGCTGATGTTTTATCTTTCTTCCTTTCTTTGATGTTCTCGAATTTTTTAATTTGCTGGTGTTTCGATGAATTTAAATAAAGAAGTTAGGAATCATGGTTTTTAATTCAATAGGAATTGAAAGCTTCTGTAGATCATTAATGTTTTTGATTCGTTCACGATATTTTTCAAGTAAACATGTGCATTTGTGAATGCGTTCTCGTAAAAATATTCGAGAAGTGCGTTGAGAAGTCTGGATAGATCTCCAGGACAGTTCTGGAGGTTTCACAAAAAGAGATTTCGGGATAATGTCTTGTAAGCATCGTTTATTAAATATTCTGTGATTGTACCAATCGCATTTACACTTGGATAATTGAAGTTGAATTATTGGGTCAAGTTTCGTAGGTGAGCCTGTAAAACCAAGGCTTGATTATTAGGTTTACATGTTTGTCACCCGTCGTTGTTCCGTGATAAGTTTAAAGCAATGTTGTTGTGATTACAAACGGGTTATCAGGAAAGTTTTTAATGTTGTATCGAACGCTTTCGGCCACTTTACTGTTTATTAATTGTGTATGCTACATATTAGAGTTTCATTCCCATAAGGGATTTTATCTCTAGGCCTAATGTTTGCTATATTTGGGCATCTCATCTGGCATGGCGAGCTGTACTATAGTAACATGTTCATAACTAGAAAGTTCTTGATAACGCCAGATTCCTGGAATAAAATCTTCACATCCCAGTAATCATCCATCAAATGAATGGAAAAATGACCAAAATTATTTGGTATAACGATCCGATTGAGCATTGAAAACTCCCGGCACCCTCAGCTTTGTTATTCTTGTTTTGAAAGTAAACGTTAATTTAAGTTTTAGAAAATATCAGACGTAAGTGCATGAAAGAAGTAATTATAACCATTTCGTATGTTTATTTTTTGTAGCTGACAAAAGATGAACTCGAAACATGTGAAATCTCTTTGCAACCCAGTAGTTCACAAAAAGCAAGTCGAAGACGACGTAAACGCTAGAATCTTTTCTACATAGATGTCTACTAAAGAGGAAATGCTGTTAGATGAATGATATAATCTTATTACATTTGACAGTATTATATATCTTCACTTTTTCTAATCTAATTGTCAATTCACTCAATCATTGATTTAGAAAAATTTATATGTGTATATTGTTATTAATTTATGGAAGGTAATATCTAATTCTACTGTCTGCTCTCTTATTCCAAATTGTACAACCTTTTTTCTTCATATGTTTCGTCTTTGTTTTAACTTAATAAATCCTAATTGTTTTATGACTTCTATTAAACTTCAAAATATAAATAATCATAAAATTAAAATAGATTTTGCAGATCATGTGTCTAATTTACTTACAAATGTTAACTAAACAATAATCAGTGTTGTACGAATAAAATGTATTTTCGCTGTATATTGTATTTCTTCATTCAGAGTTTTATTGGTGTGTACTGTCGATAACGGAAGTAATACATCTAAACATAGATTCAGCTTACCGATGACTAATTTCTAATAATAATAAAGACAACTGTTAGATTTAATGTATTTTGGTTTTTTGAAATTCCGATTAGTCACTTGAGGTTATTATTCCGAATGCACTTCAATGTAGAGTTCGAAGTATCACTGATATATAAAGTTTACTAAAATAGTTTATCACAAAACAATCCGATCATTACTCTTGCACCTCTGAGTTAGCGGTTCCGATCCCGCCCCGCGCGTCATTGAGTATACGCCTCTTGATAAGAATAAATGATGCAAACTCCTTTCGCATGGTCATGACGTTTTTCCAGTAGTCTGTTTGCTAGAAATAAACTATTACATCACAGTTTCATTTTGATACTCAGCTACGAATAATTTTTTTAATGGGTGAGGGGTTTTACACTGTGGACCAGGAACCTTACTGGTTTTAAATGATTATCTATCAAAAATCAGTTCCTGATGATAAACTGTAAATTTTCTTCATGAGTGAGAAAAGCAAATATATTAATATATAAATTATTGATCATATTGTAGGAAAAATACACAAGATTTAGTCTCATCCAGAAAACACAGCATCAGTAATTAAATAGTTATTTATTGGTTTCTCATCACGAAATACTGACTGAGAATCATTTTTCTGTGTTAGAAAAACAAACCGTTTCACACACAAAACAGAAAAAGGAATCATCGGAAGTGGAGAAACGATTAAATGAAACAGTTATTCTTTGTTCTTAGTTTTTTTGTGTGAGCAAAATAGATGGGTACTTAAGATTTAAACAAGCTAATTGAAGAACAGGTATTAAAAGATTTGATGCATTTTTTAAATAATTTTGTGCATTACAACATTCTAACAATAAATTTGAAATGTATTGACTTTTTGATAGTTGGGTCGTGATAGTGGTAGCAACGTTAGAATTTGACCCTTCTTGTTCAAATACTTCTGTTGAATTTTTCGCATGTAACTACAAAAATATACACATGGAGAGAAGATAGAAAAATTTAAATTAACTGCAGAACGAAGATCCAGTATAGACTCTATACTGTTGAATACTTCGAGGTAGTCAACAGGAAATTCTAAGTGATCTATGTTTCGTAAGTCAGAAAAGCATACATCCATTCAGGAGGAAATTGGAGCTTCCTGAGGGATTCAAACCGATATCACCCAGCTTCATAGTCTAAAAGGTTGCCATTGAGCTATTCGGACAGCAACTGAGCTGCAGGACTGAGATAACCACTTTGACCGACCACAGATTAGCGTAAACAAAGTGCACTTGTTGTTGAGTCAATTAGAATGCTGGCCATATTGACACATGATTGATATAATTGAATCAGCACCAAAGATTGGATAAAAGTGACACCAGTTACCACTTAGTAATCAATCAGAACAAGGCCTAGACACAAACATGCCATGTGTGAAAAATCAATTTTATTGGAAAGACTATAAGTCACTACTCATAGTTAGCATCCGGAATTCATAGGACGGAGTACACTGCAAAGTCGTGCATAGAGGACAGCTGACAGATGCATTCCAAGTGAGGATCGGAGTAATATAAAGATGTTTACTCTCTCCCTCTATTTTCTAGTGTTTCAACTGGACATGTAAGAGGAAAACGCGGAATACAATGGACAGTTCAGAATCAGTTAGAAGATTCGGACTTCGCAGATGACCTTGCCCTCCTATACCATACACACGAACAAATGTAGATGAAGAAAACTAGTGAGCAGAAGTCTCTGAATCAGTAGGCCATGACATACACTAAGGAAAAAGCAAGATCCTCAAATACAACACGAGAATACCAACACAATTACACGATGGCGAAACTCTGGAAGATAAGGAATCCTTCACGTACCTGCGAAGCATCATCGATGAACAAGGAGGATCCAATGTAGATGTAAAGGTACGGATTGGAAGAGCAAGGGTAGCATTCATACAGTTGAAGAACATATGGAACTCAAAACAACTGTCAACCAATATCAAAGTCACAATCATCAATACGAACATCAGGACAGATCTACTGCAAGAAGCTGAAACTTCGAGAACTACCACAACCATCATCGAAAAGGTACAAATATTTATAAACAGTTGTCTACGCAAGATATTCAATGTCCGTTGGTCGGATACCATAAGCAACAGCCTACTGTGGGAGGGAACAAACCGGTTTCCATCTGGACTTGGGAAAAGACGATGGAAGTGGATAAAACATGCGGACAGTGACCAGAAATCTTTCTCGTGGAACATCCGAATTCAAGCTTCTCAGTCAGAAAAATACGTCAACCATTTAGTCGTTTCGGGCTTCCAAAATTAAGAGTTAGCGACAATGAAATACAGTTTACGTTCTCTATCTTCTCCGGATTTTGTCAGCGGAATGAAATCAATCGTGTCCGAACACCTCAGATAATTAATGGTGTCTCTCCAACAGAAGCATTACTTGTCAGAAAAATACAGACACATTTCGACTTTATTCGTCCAACGCCAGCTCTTGAGCCTCAACGAAACATATCGATGGAAAAACAGTTCAATCGACATCATGGGGCACAAAGACAATTGTTCACTATGAGTCAAAAAGCACTTGCTATGAACTGTCGTGGCAAACATCCTACATGGATGGTTGACCGAATAGTACAAAAGAGAGAAAGTGTGGTTTACGAGGTTTCAGTTGGTTCAGAGGTTTGGATGCGTCATGCTAACCAACTGAAAGCAACTTTGATCCCCAGAAATGAGACCTGACACAGAACGCCTCTTGATGTTTTGCTGGACACCTTTGAAACAAAAACCCCTGGAACAGACTGACCAGTCTTTGAGCAAGCAGAGTGATACCACTTCTTTATTGCCTAGAAGGTGGACAAATCGAAAGCACACACCAGCCACGTGGTTGCAGGGCGACCCTATCCTACGAATCTGTCCACACGAGAGGTGTTGACGAGATATAGATTGGATTAAAATGTTTCGTGTATAATTGTGTCGAGGCACTCTGATTGGCCATTTCTTAACCAATCGGCGCTAGCGGATACTTGGAGAGGACTAGAGAATCTTCTTATGCGAAAATTCTAAGTATACTGACTTTTTTTATTGCGATTCCTACTTCCATCGACCCTTTTTATTTGGAATGTGACTACGTTTCTGTTCAACCGTGTTCTAATTTGGGGGACTTGTCGAGTAAAGTAGTGTCCAAGAATACTAAACGACCAGAGTAGCTGGGCTGTAATAAGAGACAACATAACACCAACCCTCCCGCTCCTCTACCGACACTTGAGACTGGCAGTAACCTCTGGAGGGCTTCAGGTGAATTTAACCTTGCATGTGCCTGAAGGAGATCGGCAGGATTCTCTCACATGAAGTAGATTTCTTATTAATTGGTGCATGACAAGGAGCATCTGGAAACTGTAAAAAAGTGATTTCTGTGAGATTAGAACGTACGTTGACACTACTGTCACAATCAGAGACATTACTGTTGAGCTATTCAGGTAACGGTGGCCGTCAAATAGACGTGATATAGTAATAATAAACGATACTCGGTACATGCGATTAGTGGCTTAACTCATTTTAATCGACAGATTACACTTCAAAATTCAGTGATAAAGTATAAAATTCTGAAAAGTATGGTACATACAAGAGATGAAGACCATCTAACTTACACTTTTTATATTTCTAATGAATTCTTGAGAAAGGCAAGCTTGAGCTTCAACAGAGATTCGGAAGAAGCTATTATTAATACAAAAAGTAAAGATAAAGGAATTAAATGCAGACAAATGGGTAAATAAAGATCATCATTATTATCACTCTTATTACTTAACATTTATTTCCGAAATTTGCATTTTTAATATACAGATTCGATATTTATTACGTAGCAGGCTCAAATTGTAATCACACTACATCTGATACTCGGTGATACTATCCAGTAGCCTAGATTAAAGTGGAATTTAATTTGAACCTGAGTGACTCACTAACTAAGCTACAGCTCGACATAAAGTAATTACAGTGACTCCAAATAATGTATAATGATGGTAAGTACACACTCTCTTCAACACCTAAAATTACTGCACAATTGTGTGTAATTGAGATGTTAAGCGGCTTTTTTTGTCATGTAAAAGATGTACATATCCATAGATAATTAACTAGTTCGCCTTGACAACAAAAAGCAGAACAAGTAAATGAACAGAACTAAATTCTTATGAAAACCTTATGTTAGCAAATGAGTAATACTAAAATTAGAAGCCCATCACATCAATAAATTTAACATCTAATTAAATTTCTTATTTTCTGCCTAGACATAATAATGTAGTTCAGCAAAGATTTACTTAATAGTCATCATACTACAATTTTTCAATTAAAGCTATTGTAGTACTTACTAATTGTTTGCACACAATGAAGATTACAGTGATCTAAGTATATTGTGAAAAGGCAAAGTAATTTAATCATACTTAATAATTACTCCATTTACATCGATTTATTGGGAAATACTGACTATTGGATTCACAATCATCTCATCAGCTAACTATAATTGTTCTTCACTTTCTGTCTGACC